AAAAAACAAACAAACAAAAAAAAAAGGAAAAAAAAACACACAAAAAACCCCCCACAAGGCCAAAGTCAAAAAGGAGCCTTGAAGTTACTGTCAATGACAGCAATAATTGCAAAGTGCAGAAGACAGGCACCAAAATTAAAAGTTGCTATCTGAAATGTTTTAGCCACAGCTGCTGAAAGACAAAAATAAGGCAATGTGAAATTAAATACAGAAAAATGAAAATAAAACTCCAAATAGTGGGGATTTGAACTTCCCTACTTCAGGCAATATATTCTTTGACAGAGCAACTTTCGCAGCTGAATTCAAGTAAAAACTAGTTAAATATTTCAGCAAGCAGTACAAGTCACCCTACCTTGAATAAACAAGCATTAAAATGTTTTAATTTGCTAGCTGTTGAGTTATACCAATGTAAGATATCACTGAATGTAACCTGCATGGTAACTAAAAGCAGCTATCAAATATTAAAAAAAGGACACATACAAAAACTTCCAAGCAACCCACTGGGGTAATTTCCAAAATCTTCTCTCCATCAAACCAAACTAATCACCTTAAGTTCCTTGAATAGACCGGGTGAGCCAGAAAAATCTGCCCAGAAAGTCTGTTTTTAATTTTGGGGTTGTCTTTTTCTTGTTCACTTCTCGTCCCCTTTACTGATACGAGGACCAACACAACAGCCTGTCTTGCACCAGGCTTTTAACACCATCACTCCAAAACAGAAAACAATTTGTACAGTTCTTATCTTTGATCTTGAGCCAGGGCAGTGGTACTGAACAGTTACTATGTAAGATGTAAAGCTAATGAAAAACTTCAACTGTGGCTTGTGATCTGTTCAAATCAGAGAATTGTATTGTGTGACCAGCAGCACCCCTTGCTAGGATCCAGGGTGCTGGGTAGTCCCAGCCCTTTATACAGGAGCAAACTCATAGAAACAACCAAGGACTGTCAGGTCACCTGCAACCTGCTGTATCCTCAGCATGGTCCTCTTTTTCACAGTAAAGTGACGGAGCTCACAAGGAATCAAATAATTGTCATCTCCTACATCCAGTGTCCACCCTCTCCTCAGATGGGGTAAGGTTTGTGATCTTTGACCAAGGAAAGAAAGAGCCTGACAAAACCCCTGTGGAGTCAAACAGACCGAACATCTCGGCAAAAATTCTTCACTTCTTTAATTCCAATGCGCAAAGTCACAACTTTACTGGACAGAATTATTGACTAAGTATCACTTGTGACATTTGTAAATTCCCCAGCAGAGTTCAACCCTATACTTGTTCTCTCTTAACCACTTTCTCTAAAAGCTATCAGATCCCTCTATACCTCCACATAAGCTCAAGTAGACAGAGTGGAAAATTTCCACTAGAAATATGGATCATTATCTTCAGTCTTATATGGGGGGGGGGGGCGGGCAGCAGAATAAAGGAAAAAGAAAAGAGGCCACTAGCATCAGAAGCTTGGCAGACAACACCCTGATGTGTAAGTAGAGTGTTATACCCCAAAACCCCAGTTTCTACATACAAGATACTGCATCATTTTGTGTATCTGGTTGTTTTGGTCAGCCCAATAATAATCCAAATAACTGTACTGTGTTGTGTAAGATTTAAGCACCACCAAATTTTTGATCATACTGCTAGAAGGCATTCCAGCTTTGTAATCAGAAGTGTATTTTCAGGACAAAGTGCTACAAGAACAAAACGTTATTCTTAAAGTTATAAAAAGATCATTTTAGAAACTCAATTTCTGACATTATGAATGCTGGCTGTCATGACAATCAGTCTGAGCATTTTTGTCAGTTTCTCAGAGCCTTTATTATTTTATTTTATTTTCAAATTCATCCTGCTACCAAAGTAAAACAACTGCAATTTCTTTTTTATTAAAATAATTCATATAATTACTTAAGGAATATTTAACAACCAGTTTTTATATACAGATCTATTTGCCTAAATTTTCTGAGTGCCCACATTTTCTTGAAGAAATCCATACCACAAGCAGTGCAGGTATACGTGGATTACAGACTGAATTTAGTCCTTGAATCTAATGCTACAGTTTTACCATGCAATTTTCCTTCAGCAAAAGAACATGAATGGTAAAGTGTTAACCCCATTAAAAGTCAAGGCAAAGCTTGCATGGACTGTAATGAGACTGGGATTTCACCCAAGGTGTTCAACTGTGGTTTGGGAAAGCGAATAAAAGTACATCCATTACTGTAACAAGTACTTACCTGCTAGCCAGACTGAGCAATTCATGTCTATCGGCTACTGCAGATTTCTTTTCCAGTTCCCACAACATCACATTGATCAGGTATGAATTCTTAATTACAATGGGCACTTCTTCAAACATGTTTTCATATGCAATATTTGCTTTTTTCAAGCTGTAGGAAAAAGTTAAAGAATATTTACCAATATAACCAGTACCTCTCTTATTCTCTTTGTTGAATTGCTGCTCCAACAATTGGCAATTTTGTAAAAACTCTTGATTGTCATAGTCCCACAATCTAACATGAGTGAAGTTTTGGTAAGAGCGCATTTGCATGGCAAAACCTCACGTTTACAAAGACTAGGAAAAGCTGTTCTAGGAAAAACTCTCACAAGTCAAGCAGCTGCCTTGCTTGCTAATACATTACCTACATGAAAAAGCCTCCAGCAACAGACTGTACTGACAGGATTAACTCTGCCCCTTCCAAAATATTTTACTGATTTCCCTGCCATCAGGGTTTCTTAAATAAAAGTGAACAGTTAGTTACCACATGACACTAAAATATATTTAACATCATAACTACTACAATGAAAAACGATTTCCCAAATAGCTGAATAATTAAAATTTTTACTGACCAAAAAATCAGATTCACAAAATAGCCTATGTTTTGGAATAATTAAATTCTATGGTGAATATTAAAATATAAACTTCCAGTGTGTATTTTTTACAATATGCACATAAAAAACTATTGCTATTGCTTTATAATAAAGCAGACAGTAATACCTTCCATTAAATCTGGAAATAAAAGCATGATCTACAAGTTTCTAAGGAAATACAGCCTTAACTTCTCTGTATTCATATTGGATTTTGGAATAAAATATTTTCGATTTTGCCTCCTTCCCCCTCCTTTTTTTTTTTTTGGACTAATCACAAATTTGTTTGTTCATCATGGAAATGTTTAGACACCAAGCAACGAAATGATTATGTTTTTTCTCAGTGAAGTAATTTTAACACGTGCTTGTGCTTTCGCTGTTGAATAGCTAGCTGCTGGAGGAAAAGGATGCCAGCTAAGGCCTACATCTGTAACAAGCAGCTCATCTTCTGAAACAGAGTAATTATCCTACTTTACTCCAGAAGATTGTGTCCACATGGGGGAGTTAATTTGGAATAAATACACAGCAACAGCTATTCCAGAATACCTGTTCTATTTTCCTTCAAGACAGATCAGGTATTTCCCTTCCTCCATTTCTTTTTGTCTGTTTTTGGCTCTGTCCCCAGATACAGCTATCTTCTCCATGGTCCTCTCAGCACATCCACTGACTAGCCCCAAAATCAGTTCAAGTTCCACCACTTACCCTGATGCCTAAAGACTGACTTTCATGCCCTCTCAGCCCCCTGTATCAGTGCTCATCTATCACTACCCACATAGATCCATTTTTCCAGCACGCACTGTTACATGAGATTTTAAAACACAGTGTTTCATTATCCCATGTACTATTCTGCACCCCAAATTCAGCAAACCCTGTGAGAAAACATTCTTTGAAGTTACTTACGCTTCTGGAGAGAAGTCTTTTTCTTTGCAAACTTCCATCAGTTTGGGAGTCAGCCTATATGCCTTCAGGGACAAAGACCCTTGGGCAGTCTTAATGGGATCTATTCATTAAAAATGGAGGAATCATAATATCAGCAGTATTAACAAACCCAGATTGCCTTTTTTATTTTTAAATATCTGAGTGGCATAAACAGGAGGAAAATAACTAAGTAGTCCTATTAACAAAAATTAAGACAATGAACACAAAAAAGACACTATAGCAAAGGCAATCCTATTGTACTGCGAGGTAAAATACATCCAACAATATATAGTGAAGTGAATTAGTAAATTAAAGTTGGAGAACATGGGGGGGACCTAGACCCATTCTACTTACATTATTTCCACATTAAAGGTCCAATTCACATTTTCTTTTCTTTCATATGAATTATCCACAGAACTTACATAACAGCGACCTCATTTAAATAAAGATTTTTCCTTCCAGCTATTATGCAGTAAATTAAAATATTCATTAAACTATATTTTATTTTAAGAAATGTAATTTTAGAGTAGCAATAAGCTAATTCAGATCAAGTTGCCATGCTGCTTCGTGTATGTCAATGTAACTGGTATATAAAAAGATTCGTTTTGCCTTGACATACTCTGCTGAATTTAGGGGGAAATTTTCTAAACAAACTGTTACATTCCTTGGACAAAGAAGCTTAACACTTGCAGCATGATAACGGCTGAAGCATGCCAACATGAGAATAAAAGCTGTGTTAACATTCATGTTGTCTGAAACTTAACACAGTAAAACTTTTAGCAATCGGTGATAAAATGAAAACCAAAATAGACTGAAACAAGTGGAAAATTCATCAAGGTCTGATGATGCAATGTTTCCAGCCAATATAAGTATACTTTAACAACTTGTTCTTTACTGTAATCCAATTGTTAACATACTGAAACAATTTTGGGGCAGCTCATAAGATTGATCGTATTCATTAGTATTTTTTCTGACAGATACTCAGGACGTTACATTTACTTCTCAGCTGGAAACTATATGCAAGTCTGCCAGATATGGCAAACTGTGAGTGTTTGGGGAGGGGGAGGCTATAAAGCTGTTAAATTGCCTACGGTTCTGATACAGCACAGAACATCTGGTCTGGAGAGCTTGAGGAAACACCATTAAATAGGCAGAAAAGAAAAAAATCTTTGTGCTAAGAAACAGTCCAGGTTTTGTATGCTTCTGTCAGAGGTATAAAAAAAACTTGGCAATTCGTGCGATGATTGGTCAGTCACGTACAGAGCCAGACACGCTAGCAAGCGGGGTTTGTTAGACATCTGGTCGGGTTCCACCAGCCCCTTCCACGAGGGAGGGGAGATGAAGGAATAAAAATGAAGCAGCTACTCCAGCATTCCAAAACGTACACATCAGGGCTCTGATAGCAAGAAAAATAAACAGAAAGAAGGAAACCCTGTCTAGACTTAGCTGCTGCTGAGGCTGCCGTAGACACAGGGTTGGTATTTACTCGAAAAGGCCTGCCAGGCTACTCTTACAGGCAAAAGACAGA